AATGGCATTTCACCGCAATGTTTTTTTCAGGGAGGAAATGAAATCCTTCCTTAAGAAACAAGCTGAAAAGCCCATGCATCACTGTTGTGCATAAAAGTTATTTCTGTATCTGGTCATGAAACACCGCAGTGCCAAAAATACTATGAAAAGATTTCTTTCACACTCAATGAAAAACTGTAGGCCCTTGTAAAAAGGAATTCAGTGCACCTGTATGAGGCACTGGCATCTCTGCCCCAAGTGCATTGGAACACCAGCTGATTCAGGAGTCTCCTATACTAAAGTGAAGATCAACTTGGAGCTCATCAACTGGAAAATGGCACTGAAATCATCTGAAGAGTCAGCAGATTTGGCCTTGCCAGAAGTGTCTTTGGCCACTAAGAAGTTTTTAGGAGTAAGTAGAATGTCAAAGAATATCAAAACAGACCCAAACTCCCTATCTCATGCTGCTGAAAATACTCCTTTGAAATGAGACATTTTGGAAAGCAAACTCTATTGCCAGTTATATATATGCAGTTTATTCAACTCCATAATGGAAAATGTAAATATTATCCCTATCTCAGAAGTTACTGTGAGTTACCAGGAGGGCAGATGTGGACTTCATCCTAAGCTGTTCTCGCAGCTGCTGGTTAGAGCAGTCTTCTGGAAGAGCTCTCTCCACAGGCAGGATAAGACTACTAATGTCAAGTGGGAGCACTAAATGGATTTTGAGCTAAATTCAGTGATATTCATGGGAATGGGCTCTCCGGGGATGAGTTTAGACACTTCTTTCCCAATTACAACTTTAAGAGTTCATTTTGGGATACATGTAAGTATCTAAGTGTGAGAGTCGCTGTAGATTTTCTAGTCCAATGTGGAAATTCTAGTAAGTTTCAAGCTCTTCCTTGGGTAATAGGTGACCTGACTAGCTCTCTTGGATTTAGGCACCATGCAGACCAGAGCTAGTAGGAAAGAGCTATTAGGAAGACCACTGAGCAGAGATAGGATTTTATAACTGAAACATGTTATTTGCCCTCTCTTTTTAAAGACGTGCACATTTGGAAAAGTGTGGAAGGCGACACCATTACTCAACTGTTTGAGTAAGGGGGTAAATTCCTATAGTTCGGATTCACATCTTTTAAGATATTTGATAGATTTGCTGTGCCTACATGCACTATTTCTTCTGTGAATGAGGTTAACTGTATATAGTATAGTAGGCTTCATGTTCCTTTTTTCTTAGATTTAGCACGAATAATGTCCTGTGCAGTGAAAATAAGACATTCAGCTCTGATTTCTTTTCAGCATACTCATTAACTGACTTTTCTGGACAGTCACTGCTTGTCATTACTTGTGACAAGGGAGTTTTGAAAACTTATATGAGCTAGTGACAGAAAGAACTGTCCCATTTGTTTTACAAAGAAAACCTAATATATATAGCTAATTAAATTAGCAATAGCTAAGCTGAAATGTAACAACTACCCGATTTCACTGGCGTTAGCAGTCTCATCCAAAGTCAAGATCAGTGCTTAGATTGTTCTCAAATTTTGAGTGCATGATTTTTTGTCAACTGTTCTGCTTGCTCTTGTTACATGAGATGATAACAAACCTCCATGATTTGTTACATTTATTTTATTTATTTATATTTTTACCCATAGATGCAGAGAACATTTTATCTGCACACTTTTTTCTGGCTCACCATCCCATTTCAGGTGTTCACTTGACACACATGTCATAGAGGGTAGCCAGGTTTTCAGTTCATGCAGTGGCAGGTTAAATCAGTGTACTTCTTTGCTTGTCATTTTGATTTTGGAGGAATTTCTTTTTAATTCTGTAATGATTATGTTCTCCAATGCACTTCTCTTATTTTCTGTGGTGGTAGGTTTTGTAATGTCAGCTGATATTATATTCCTTTGGCACACCTATCATTTGCATGCACATAAGGCACTGAAGGTGCTCATTATTTTCAGCTAACAAGTAATCTTGTTCCCACTTAATTTGAAATACATTGTTCTCTGTATCCTAATTTTGGCTTTTACAGTTACTTGCCTCATTGCATTTGGATTACACTGCACTGTGTTTTAATACATCATATTTAAAATCTGCAAGATAAAACATCACAATAAATAGAGATGTAGATACAACTGCAATGGAAACATTACGGCAGCTAGGGAGGTTACCGTGATTCATCACCTGCCAAGTGTGCTTCATCATAGGCACAGTGGGCAGTATGGGACTGCTCCACTAAGTAGAGGCTCTGTGTCTCCGACGGTCTCACCAGGCTCTCAGTTCCTCAGGGCTGAATAGAGAGGGCTGTACCAACATGTTTCTGCACTCACAACAGAAGCAGAGCTCTCTACAGACAAGCTCTTGTGCTAATACTATTGCAGCAGCAACCTGTCCTCAGAAGGAGCTGGGAGGGTTCATCGGAGGTTCATGCACCTGCATTCTCCACTTTTTTAATGCTGGAGGACAAATACATACACCAGTCTCTGCTTGCCAAGTGATGGCAAACCACTCCTTCATGTGGAAGCAGCAACTTCTGCTAAGATTCATGCACCTTCTGAATTAGTCATTTCCTTTCATCTCCACTCCAAGCTTGTACAAGATGGTAATGATGGTACGAGAGGAATTGTCCTGTGGGCTGTATTTGGCTTGCACAACACCCACGGTAGTGTATCATATTTGCAGACAGTATCAGTTACTGTTTGCAGTGGCTAAATGTCTCAGGAAGAGATGAACATAATGCCAACAAAAGAAGTAAGCTTCATAATTTAAGTTATCTCGTTGGGAAAGTTTTACCACATACTGCTATAAATGCTGTTTTCTTCCTGCCTAAGGGTTGTTTTGCTTTCAGTCCTTTTCTCCAACATATAATGAAAAAAACAATGTGTATGCTACAATGTGAGGGAGTCCACAAGAAATCATAACAGAATGCTTATATTGTGTTGAAAAACTTGCACTGAAAAACCTGCTCTGAAGATAAGTGAAAAATATGGTCTACATTTAGTTTTGCAGAAGAGAACATACACTGTAAGTCTCAATGCCTGGAAGGGCTCTGAGGGAAGGACCATACAAGCTCTTTCTGAGCCTATAGCATATATATGTTTCCCACCTCCACAATTCTGCCATTTAGGTTGTGGGCTTCTAGAAAGCACAGAAAAACAGTGATACAGCCACATTTTCAATGCAGCAATATGTTAGAGATGAAATTATGCTGAGGTGAATCTATGGTTAATATAAAAAAAAATCTCTTACTCCCCTGGGAAGAAGAAAATACTGGTTGTAAAGTTTGTTGCAAAGTCCATAAAAATAAAAGCATATATACATAAATGTACATTAATATGTTAGTATACATACATGTCTAGAAATTATGCTGGTATTTCAGATAGGAGTGTCGAATGGTATGTCTGGGCATTTCTCAGTATACACGAACATCATTTCCATGCGTGTTTCAAGAGATTGACTGAATTCTTGAAGGTGAATGATAAGGGAGTGCGGGTTGTGGAGCACTAAGATAATGCAGAGAGTCACCTGCAGGGTATGAAAAGGGTGGAGCTACTAAATTTAATATGTCAGACCTCACAGCAGTTGAATATTTAAGTTGTCTCTGTGTCATTTAATACATTTTTCAGCATCTCATGATCTCTTAGATCTCCTTTGGTGGATTGTCTGAAGACTGTGCCCCGGTCATAGTGAAATACCGGTTTACGATGTGTGAAGACTGTGCCCCAGTCATAGTGAAATGCTCGTTTACAATGATAAATACTCCTTCAGGAGTACATGTTGTTAAGCTGCTCTTTTGAAAACTGAAGTGTATACTGAGACTTAAATATGTGCTGAGGTGTCCTTGATTTCTCTGGGACTTAATCACAGGTTAAAGCAGTTTCTTGAATACGGGCTGGAAAAAATAAACAATTTATAACTAATTGAGAAGGAGGAACACAGACAGTTAAAGTCTTAGGCTGCTCTTGTCATCCATATATACATGTTGAAAATATAGTTTTAATGTAAATCTGGGCAAAATTAGAGCTGTTTAAAAGGAGTTCATAATTTGCATAGGGTTTTCAGATAATAGCACAGGACATGAGTAAGGGATACAGGCAAGAAATCTGTAAAAGAGAGAAAGGAGTACATCAGAGCCTGCATCTGAACTTATAAGTCATTGAATTTGGAGAATTAATTCAAACCTATCTCTACAGCAAACATGATTTGGAATGGCCAGAAGACGCTGGGATGATATCCAAAAGCCAATTAATGAAACAAAAGCTATTCATGTATTTAATGACATGCATCCTGGCAAACAGCTTAGTAGAATTGATACCGATAAAGCCAACGGAGCATGGTTATCAGTATTCAAGACTATACCTTAAATATTGGAAGGATTTACCTGGACTTGCAGAATGAACATTTTCCATACCTAAGTGAGTTTCTATTTTATAGAAAATAATGTGTTATTACAATTCAAAGATTCGGCGCTATTTAACAGAATTTCTTACATATACCAAGAGTATGGGAAATACAAACAGGGAAAGGAGCAGTCCATTATGAAACACTTTAAAACTTGAAAACAAAAACAAAAACACATGCATCCTTTAGATTCTTTTCTGTGCTATTCCAATAAAAATAGAATATAAACATTTCAAATATTTGAAAAGTATTACTAATATGTGCAACTTTAGCCAGAATATATAAAACAGAGGCAATTGTAAAAGAGAAATAGAGGCAATTTGAAGTAAGCAAGTGTAGCTAGTTGCCCACAAATATCATGCAAAAATCTAGGACTAGCTTTCGTTTCCTTTATTCCACTTTAGCGCTGCTTACATTTGATCCCTTACAGAACAACAGCAGTACAACTGAGGCAAAATGTGACCTTGCAGTGGCACAACAGGCTGCCTGGAACTTACATATGGGAACACTTGACAATTCCAATCCTGAAAATATTTTCCCATATGATTTTTTTTTTTCTGTATTTGAGAATTTACATAAAAGATGTGCCACATGCCAGATAATTATCAAATAAAAACTTTTTTTTTTTTTTTCCCAGTTTAATTGTATTAAAATTATTATTACAGGACAGCAAGGAACAATGGGCTCCAAATCCTGGCTCAGTTTGTTAGATCCCACATCTGTGTACTGTTTTCTCATTTCCAACTGTGCTGTATGTCCATCCCAGCTGCCAGTCAGTGCATGATGCATTCAGTTCACTGCTTCACAGGACACACCTGGTTACAGTGTCAGAAACAAGGTTACTCGGTGATTCAGCCTAATAGAATTACTGGTCGCAACTGGTAATGGAGTTACTCGCAGCCATCTCTCTATAAATACATAATGAGGGGAAACGTCAAAAAGAGGTAATTCTGCCGAGCAGAGCAGTTGTGTCCATTTGGGTATTTGAGAGAGTAAATTGGAAAAAAAAAAAAAAAAAAAAAAAAAAAAAAAAGGTTGTTTTATTGAGGTAATCTGTATGAAAATTTGTGTTTTCTTTAATAGGGACTTTTTACAGAAATTAATACCTCAAACTTAAAAATTGCATTCAAGAATTTGGAGCTTTGAACTTCATCAGAATTCTGGATTCTGATTTGGAGCCAAAATTAGGAAATTACCTAACAATCAGAGCTGCAACTTCTTCCTTTAATGGTGGCTATTGCACAAGCAAAAAAAAGGTATCGGAGCTAATAGCAATTCCCCAGCTAATATGTAACACTTGTTTGTCATGTTACTCCCCGGAGTGCTCTACAAATTGGCCTTGTCTCGTTTTATGGAGGAAGAAAGAGGTGCAGAGAGATAAGGTGGTTTCCTGGAGGCCTCGGAGCAGGCTGGAGGCAGCACTCGTGCTTTCTCGGCCTAGTCCTGTGGCCTTGTCTGCTGGCACCCTGGTGCTCGCTGGTCACCATAAGCAGACAAAATCCTTCTCTAGACAGTGTGCATCACCTTCCGCTGTCACGCAGTGTGTTTCTCCTTCTTAGACGTGTATTCCCTTGCTTTCTCAGACTGGAAGAACAAGGAAAAAAAAAATCCCTTCAATTTTCAAGATGAGAAACTGGAGCATTGTAGTAAAATTAGTGCTGGCAGGAACGTTTATCCCTCTGTGACCTTTCCCTGTTTTCTTTAAATGAGCAGCTTCTCTCCCTGCAGTCTTTGTGATTCCCTCTTTGTGCCTGTTCAAAGAATCAGTTGAGACTGATTCAAGCACTTTCACAGGCAGCAGCCAGACGAATACATTGCATTTCACTGAGCTGCAAATGCTGGTTAAGTCACAAGATGCTCAGACATGAAAAGCTCTATCTTAAACAAGGGACATGTTCACTTCTCTTTTCTCCTCCTCCTTCCTGTGTGTGAGGGGTAAGATTCACTTATTATCATTTATTTGTGGAACAGGGAATCTGATCTCTTCATAAGTCATGCAGCAATTTAACTATCTGAGCTGAGTAAGCTTTTACAACACATTTAATTGTACTGTTTAAATTGATGTGTGGTTATACTGGTATGAAGGTGTTTTACACTGTCACTGTTTTTCCTTCTGCTAAGAAAAATATGAGCTACAGTCATGGAATCATAGAACCATAGAACAGCTCGGGTTGGAAAGGACATTAAAGACCACCCAGCTCCAACCCCCTGCCATGGGCAAGGATACCTCCCAACTGACCAGGTTGCCCAGGACCCCATCCAGCCTGGCCTTGAATACCTACAGGGACAGGGCATCCGCAGCTTCTCTGGGCAACATGTTACAGTGCCTCACCACCCTCTGAGTGAAAAATTTCCTCCTAAATTCTAATCTAAATCACCCCCCTTAATTTAAAACCATTCCCCCTTGTCCTGTCACTGTCTGTCTGAGCAAAAAGTTGCTCAGTTGCTCTCCATCTTTTTTATAAGCCCTCTTTAAGTACTGAAAAACTGCAATAAGGTCACCCCAGAGCCTTCTCTTCCTCAGGGTGAACAGCCCCAGCTCTCTCAACCTTTCTTCATAGGAGAATACGTAATGACACAGTGCCACCTAAACTGGAGAAGTACAGCTTTAGCTGTAGAAATATAGTCAGGTCAGCACAACTTTCTATCGTAAACAAGGCCTATATTGCACAGCCACGGCTAGATTGCTCACTTTTTCAAAAGGTCCTGCCTACAGAATATGCACAACCAGTGTAACTAGTTGTGTTTTAATAAATAATAATGATATGTGTCTAATTACAACAGCCCATCTAGGCATTTCCTGTAGGCCTCTCGCAGGGTGACGAGGCGCTCCTCACCTCACCACACAGCCACAATTACAATATACGTAATTTCAGAGCTATGGGCTGCTGGCAAGTAAGCACTGTCCATCTAGAAGAAAAGTATTGTCTGCAATTGCTTTCAAGGGCTCAACCAGGCAAATGTTTACTCACAGGCACAGCTTTTATGACCATGAATAGTCCCCCTGATTTCAAAGGGATTATGCCTGGTAGTAAGTATTTGCAGAATCAATGCCTTAATCAGCATGCTTAAATGTTTAATTTTGTCCTCTCCAAACATGTTTGCAGGATGCTAAGCTAGTCTCATGATTCTCCACATGCAGGTTAGCTCCTCTTTTGGAAGTGCATTGCATTTCAATTTTTAAAAAGCTCAGGCAAGCAAAACCCACTGTTGCACTTACTCCAAGGTGTATCACGGTGTTTTGTGATGGATATAGTAGTCGGTATATCGCACAGGCAAATGCGTCAATAGGAATGTGCAAATAATCAGATATAAAAGTGCAAATAATAAATGACATTGCTCCAAAATCTTGTTGAATAGTGGGATCTGGAAACTGGAGGTTGGATTGATTGCTAGAATGAACAGATACCATTCACTGACGTCAAATGCTAAGGTAAAATGGAAAAAAAAAATAAGTAGAAAATAAGGGTTTTATGGAAAGAAAATTGACACAAATATTTTTTTTGACTGTTTTACTCCTCTCCTCTTAACATGTGGCCTGTTCCTACTCTGTTTTTGCCCTGTTGTCTTGCTGTCATTTTTTCCTGTTGCTATACCCTTTTAACACATCTGTACAGTGCTAAATCTGAAGATTCAGTTTTGCCTGTTACTACAAAATCTGTGTAGTTTGTTGAGTGCTCCCCTCTGCCAAAAATCAATGTCAGGATTTTGGCTCTTGATGTTTCCCCCTAATGCTTAAACTGTAATAGATTACCACAAAATTTAGCCACAAAGGTGCTCAGCTTCCTCCTTGTAAGAGGGAGTGCCCTTGAAGGTATCTCAAACCCTTTCCAAGGAGCTCCAGGAAGACAAGTGGTATGTCTGTGCTGTCCAAATTGATCTGCTGCAAATCTTGCATCTCCTTCTTACCTTCTGTCATCCACTAAGCCTGTCTCTCAGTGTGCACCTGTAAATTCAGTCAGGCACCTGATGGCTGGCTGTGTAGGTGAGAAATTCAGACACACGTGATAGCTGGGCCCATACCTGAGCTCCACCTCTCCGTAAGCATGGGTGATGCCCATGCACTCCAAAAACATGCTGAGACCTCCACGCTGAAGATGTACTTGGTGTACAGCACCTGGGTTATGAACACAATTTTACATTTTGGCAACGTGATTAAAAACAGTCACAGCTTTCTAGAAATTTTCTAGAAAATGTTGTGAAGAAGGTAGAGTTATCCTACAGCAGCTGTAAATTACATGAACCTAATTATGTCTTTATTTACAAACTGTAATAATGAAAATCTAAATCCACAGTACAATCAATACATGTTGCCATTGCTCTCACTAATGTATGCACATAAATAAGAGTACAGGGAGAAACTGTATGTATATATGATGAGGTTAGTACTTGGTGTTTTCACTGCTGAGATATACTACCAATAAACATCATTTAATGTTAATAAAGTAACATTAATAATTTAAAAATGGGAACTGCTTACTAGCAGCACTTCAGTAAAAAAGTATTTGAAGATTACAGAAGAAAAAAGGCACAGATGAGTCAACAACATATTGCTGCATTAAAGCAAATATCCTATGAGGTGGTATTTAGATGAGTGTTTCATTTAAGTAAAACCAAACAATCCTTCCACACTACTCACCATGTTAAATGACTAAACTTAAAAATTAATTGTGTCTGGTTTTGTAGTTCAAGAGACCAAGAATCCAAGGAAGAGCAACAGGACTCATTGCCTTCCCTGGTTCTTCAGGACCAGAACCACTAACTGAGATGTTGCAGAGAAATTTACTGCGTGCATTTTTGGATCTAGGTGATCTGTGGAAGTGTTGGATGTTCATAAAGTAAGCAGCGAGTGAGATATTATTGACCTACATGCCAAAGTATTTACACTTGGTGAAAAATACAATGACTGCCCTGTTCACAAAGCAGCACAGACCTTGCATAAACTGGGGCTGAAAATTTAAGGGTCTCCATAGCAAGAACAATTTAGAAAGAGATTATATTGGGGCAATGCTGAAGTAACAAGGCATCTCTCTCCAGGCCAAGATTGTCAGAGGCAGCAGCATACAATAGGAGATTAGACGAGGAGCCAACAGACTGAATGCAAATCCTTCTGTTATTGACCCACTCAGCAGTTGTGTTAAGGTCAGTGTTTCTCTCTCTTTCCCTTCCCACTGTACTTCTTGTTTTCTCCTTTATGTATTTTGACCTTTTTGCCACCTTTGACTTTTATCTCTTTGGAGCCTGCCGATCTTTCCCTGTGTTTCCCCAGTGTTTAGCACAATGTGCATCTCTGGATCCTTGTACTGACACCATAGAAGCTACTGCAGTAGTAATCTAGCAGGGAGGAAATGAATTTCTTTCACAGGCAGAGAAATTATCCCAAATATATATTAACATCTGAGGCTTGAATTTTAACAAATGTCTCTCTGCTTCTGCGGCATCCACTTCAGCATGCCATTGACTTCACAGTAAGTATGCTGCAGACTGAAGCTATACATATGCTGCAGACAGCTTTCCTTTGGCTGCATACTGCAGAAGTTAGACTGGCATTAACAGCTGCCTGCAGCACAGGTTACAGTAAAGCGTATCGTGTTCACATCATCATTACATACCTTGGATTCCTCTGTAAGCCTCAAGTCTGGGGGTGAGGAGAGCCCTTTGGACCATAAATATATTAGCTTGCCACAGTGACCTATGTAGCTCTGTCTTTCAGCTAAGAGAAAAAATACTTTTATTCCACAGACATATTATTGAGACTGCTGAAAAGCAAATCAAGACATAATTGTCTCCGTTGTTAGAGAAACTTGGAGACATTTCTGTCTGCCACAGATATTACAAATGTTCTTAATGCACCTACATTTCTGGAGCAAGGTTAAGCGTAAATCTTCATTCACAATACTTGGATAATTAACAAGTGTGCTTACAGCTAAGTGTGCAATAAAATAATTCATTATTATTCATTATGCAGTTTGTAGGGGGCTGGCAATTTTCTTAAAGGGAATAGGAACAAGGCTGTAGAAACAAGAGGTAATTATTAGAAACCTATGGAAAAGAGAGCTTGGCTTTTATGATGCATGAAGACTATGGAGAAGAAGTGGACTGAAGGGACAGAGGATCAAAGATGATTAGGAAAAGAAGCATGCTGCTTTCACATGGGAAAGCATTTGCAGAAAAAAAAAAAAAAAAAAAAAAAGTTTCACTTTCCTTGGCACATTATCCTTAAAAAGGCTACAACAAACGTTAGGGGAGAAAAAAAATAAGTGTGAATGAACATAGAGGAACATCTAAATGAGCATGGACCCAGAGAATCTTTTTTTTATTTTTTTTTTCATCACAGTTCAGTATGAAGTTAGGAGGTAAAGATTTTTAAAGATAATGCATATTTGAAACTAATTATGTCCACGGCTACAAGAGTAAGTTTGGCATAAGCAGAAACGCTTCATTGCCTTTCCTGATACGGGAAGCAGGGCATGACACAGATGTCTCTGACTGAAAACAAGTTCTCTTTTTTTTTTTTTCTCATTTGCTGTCAAAGTTTAACAAACTTATTTGCATTCACTTCTCACAAGATTTCTGATAGTTGTGTCACTTGCAGGCAAACCTTTGTGACACGAAATGCAGCAGCCAACTCATCAGAACTACAAACTCTGAGTTGCACCACTTGCAGTAAAAAAAATAAGCAGGAGATTAAACTAATTCTGAATATAGGATATTAACATGTTTGTTTCTACTTGGAAATCATCACCAGTTTTGAATCTTCCCAGAGAAATTGCCCTGCAAAGCAATTTCCCCCTCTGGACTCAGCACGCTGCTTCTGCATCATTCCCAATCCCCGCTAATCCTGGGCACAAAAAGCCCACGCGGCCTGCTGCATGCTGCTGCGGGGCACGGCGCTGTGGTCACGGGGATGGACCTGCACGCCGGCTTTTCCCCTTGGTATATTGCTTTGCATCAAACAAATCGTGTCCAGAGCATAAAAACACTCATCTGCAAATATTTCCATTACTAGGAGAGACCCTGCTGCCGCGTGCAGACCGTTTTGCAGCGAATGGCAGGGGTCTGCAGGTTCAGCCCCTGCAGCAGCTCGGCAGTGAGCACCTCTAGCAAAGTGAGGACACCGACCCCTCCAGCAGGGTATACAGAAGTTAATTCCCAAGACAGTGCTGCTAATTGCTTAATGTACTTGAACAGGTGGAAATTAGGAACTCAACTTTTTGTCCGATGGCATTTGCAGAAAGATCCCCTGCAAATGTTCTCAGCCCGTGCTGCTGTTGCTACCACATTAATGATGTGCAGCGCGGTGACTCTGAAAGGCACCGGTCATAAATCAGCTGCCGGCTGCGAGGGTATCAGTGACCCTAGAAAAATGTGCTCTGCTGGGGGACGGGGGAGGACACCAGAGATAGCTGCTTGCTCTTTCTAGTTGATTAGACGTCCAGAGCCCTACAAGTACAGCTGGCCTTGTCATATGCAACATGCCAAAGCCAAAGACGGCTGAGCGGGGAGAGCTGCTCTTAGCTCATGATGTGTGGTCCTAGTCCTGCGAGGGATCTGCGAGTACGAGCTTCCTGATCCCTGATCCCTGCAAGGGTACATGAGGGAGGCCGAAGGCATCTCATAATAGACACAGAGTTATGTTGAACATTTAGGTGCCTACGCACTTTTTTTTTTTTTGTAATATCTTTTGGCAAATCCCTACAACCCAAACAGGAATTAAGGCATTAAAAGGGGAAACCTTTTTATAAGCAAAAAAGAAGGCATCAACATAGCGTGAAATAGAGAGATATTGTAATGCAGACAGAGAGAAAACTTTTGTTTCTAAAATAAAATAAAATAAAACAAAATAAAATACATGCCATATAGCTACCAGAGCCCCAGCAGTGCAGCTGGTGTGGCTCAGTCTGAAAGATCAGCCCAGCATGGGAGCAGAGATGAAAGCACCCAGAGGAGCCCCACGCACTTTCATCCTGAGTTATCGCCGTGCAGCAGCATTACAGCTGCAGAGGAAAATAACCACCCCACGATGAGTGTAAGGTGAGCGGGGCTCTGCAGCTACGGAGACAATCTTGGAGCTGCCAGACCAGCCCAAGATTTCTGTTCTGGCTTCTCCGTGCAGCAGCTGGGGCTGAAAGAGACCAACTTTTAATTCTGAAACTTCCACTGTGATATTCACGTACTTCCCTAAACCGGAGATTTGTACAACTTTTGGTCTCACCGATTACTCTGTGGGAAAACAAAGCAGGCAGATAAAAAAAGATCACTTCCTTCTTCCCCTTCCCAATTCCCTGTTTTTACCATATTTTGTAAAAGCAAATTCCCAAACACTGTATGCCCTTGAAAATACCTTTTTTTTGTTTGTTTGTTTGTTTCCCCACTTTTAATTTCTATTTACAAACACTGTTTCCAGTTTAAATACTCTACGAAGAATTAAATATCTTTACAGTTAAACCTGAAAGCGGCCGACCCCAAAACACCATCAGTTTTTGCAGCTGTTTTCACGGCGTGAGCCTGCCTCCTCTCCGTGTTTACGCAAACACGCTTTATCCCATTTTATTATTGCTAAACTCCTGCCGATCGTCTGCTTCAGAGAAATATCTGCACGTGACCTGGCAGGCATCCCACTGCCGATAACCCCGTCCGTCCCCGCTGAGGCCCCAGCTAATCGCAGCTCCCCACCTGCCTGCCTCCCCCATGCGCCCTATCAAGCCCTGCTCGCACCGCTGGGAGCTGCTGCATGTGCAGCCTGGCCAGGTTATCCCTCATGGGATTGAGTTTTTAGTATTTCCTCACCCCTTTGCTCCCCTGAGGAAGAATTCAGCTTTCTCTGGCTGCTTTGTGTCATGTCAGATGGCCTTCTGTAAATATAGAGGCTGCAAATGCTCCGTTATGAGCTCCTCTGTGGGAAGCTGTGCCTGGATTTTTGCAAAAAAAAATGTGTGGAAAAAAGATTAAAGTTTTCAAAGTTCCTTTACTTCTGCTAAAAAATGAATCATCTATACATAAAAATTAGGTAAACTTGAAAAATGGCATGTTAACATACCTATAAAGAACAAGTGCATAGCAATGATATAAATACTGTCTGTATCAAGATCTAGAATATAATTACAGGCTCAATTTTCTGAGGGATGAAATAGGCTATTTTTCAGAAATTTGGTTCTGTCTGTTCCTCAAAGATACTGAATAAAATGATATAAGCTTTGCCCTGCTGCATCATTCATACTAATCAGAAAATTTCCTCTTTTTTTTCATAATATCTGTAGTAGTACAATTGCTTCTTGGAGAATTATAGCAATAACAGGGTATTTCAACCTTGATGACTGGGTAATACTGAAGTATGGCTATGGTACAGTAATTCAGATTGTTGCAGGTACAGTGGGTAATGGGTAAGGTGTGTTTTCTCCTGGCTTTTTTTTTTTTTTTTTTTTTTTCTTTAAATAAATGCAAGCCATTCTGAAGGCTTGCCACTGAATTTATATTTTCCAGTGGATTTCCAGATGTTTAGGTATCCATCCTGCTTGTCTCTTATTCCTGCAAAACATTAGAATGGGAGATCACTAGTATTTTCATTTAACTCCTGTGTTATATATTGCAATTTGATTTACTTTTGTGATGAATATATCAAATAATGCATCAGGCCAGGTTTTGCGTGAAATAAATAGCAATCAGCCACTCTCAAGTTGGCATTGAAGTGCTGCGTAGGCAGGGTTCCCGATCCACTTGAGTGCTCAGATACCTAAAACAGATTTCTGTACAGCTCTGCTGAGCCTGACAGGGCTTATGGGAATGAAATGGCTACGTTGCATTTCAGAAGTGGCACAGATGCTGTGAGGTCTCAAGATGCAGTGTGGCAACACGTGAAGAGACCCCAGTGAGAGGCAAACAAGGTTGCTCTGGAACTAGAAAACAGGCCAGCTCTGGAACTGAATTGACCTAGCAGCCTGCCCCGGCTCACTGACCCTGCCAAGAGTGCATGCGGTCATTAATCTGGGTGCAGCACCATGCTCATACCAGCTTCCAGACTGAAGCTACTATTTTTGATTGTGGTGATATGTAGACATAGTAATTTGTTCGGAGGCTCCTGTCGTGGTGGCGTGCAGCAGAAGGGAACTGTGCTGCAGGTCCCTGGTGCCTTTGGGTGACATTGAGGTTCTGCAATGCCTCGCGCAGCAGAGGTGGGGGCCAGGACCTGTCGCTAGCAGATCCCAAGCTGATAAACTCCACCGAGGTTGCTTGGCTTGGCTCCAGCCCTGGCTGCAGGAGACACCCAGGAGAGCTGTTGGACTTGCTGCATGCACTAATAGGCTTTGTCTTCTTGGTTCATCAAAAGGCTGACCAAAACCAAGATTAGGTTCTGCAAATCCATCCCTGCTGCACTGGGATGGGGTTCTCTGCTCATCCCAGAAGTATGCTTTGATAGTTCATGTAAACAGGTGGAGAAGGGCAGCAGGCAGTGAAAGCTGGGAGATAAAAGGGAAAGGCAAATCTGCTCAGGGGGAGGGCTAATCTGACAGCCCATCAATCCATCTTTAATCTGGGAAGAAAGGCTGTAATCTCAAGGTGATGCTGGTGGGGTACCAAAGAAAGTGTCACACAGCTGGGGGCTTTCTGACACCTTTCCTTGCAGTCTTGTCTCTCCATGGTATGCTTTTTATAACAAATTACTCCATCTAAAAATGTTCTAATACATCAATGAATAGTGCTGGAAAGTTTTCTACAACATTTTATCTTGTAAAAGCACATAGGAACCATCCAAATACTATTAACGTGTATTAGATTGGGAACTATGAGAACTTTGTAGTTCTTAATAGGGAACTTTTGAACTTATTAATAGCCTTTTATTCATGATATCAGGATAAAATTTATATCACACTTTAGAAAATTATACTAAATTAATCAACTCCAGTGGATATGCCACTACTCATGGTTCAGCCTTGAGACATGAAGTGGTAACTTAGAGTAAATGAGACATTGTGCCTGAAAATATCTAGCACAACACATTACCCCAGTGTTCACATTTGCATTAGGTGTGACGTAAGGATTTTCCTCTGGACTTCATGGGAAATGCATTTTGGGCCTTACACTGCTAGACTGGTCTTGATGCAAAAGAGTGTAGCACAGATTTAGGCACTGTAAAAGACTGTTCAATATAATAATACTACTTGATTCTTAGTATTTTGTTTGTCTTTAATGCTCCCCTTTTACAATTAGTAAACAGAATAACAGTTTTCTTTATATAATTCACACTCTCTAAGTGAGCCATAAAAACCATCTGTAGCACATCCCATGCAGTTTTCTCTGACTGTCCTCCTGTACAATCAGGCATTTTCATGGGGATCTCAAAGCAGTGAAGTGTCCAGAGCCAAGCCTCAGGCATCTGATGTCCCTGCACTTTTTTGAAAATTTCATTTTCCAAATTTGTGTATGAGTGGGTATATGTTTTTTAAGCCGAACAGTCCCTGGATACATTTATTTTTGTTCTGGTTTTGTAAGAATCCTTCTGTCTGCTTGTTCACCTCTCTTGTCACTCACACCAGTAATTTTCTGGACCTGTTTATCAGATTTGATTGAAATTAGCCAGGTAGGTGAAAGTCTCACAACAAATTCCTGTAAGGCTTGTGGGAGAAGGGCATCCACTAGGAGAAAGCTTTGACTGTGTGCTCAGCAGTATCTGATCTGCTGCTAGCAAATTGTTACATGTGCTGTGGGCAGCCAACCCAGTACGTGTACACAAACCAGATGTATATTTAAATACATATATTTCAGAACCAGACACGGCTATACCACCTCTTGCTCAAGCTGGGAGTTACCACACATGGGATAAAGGTGTGTGCACCACAGAGTAAGGCTAAGTAATATGAGGGATCTCAGAGAAGACATGAGGAGGTCTGATAGAGGGGAAAAGAGGGAAAGACATGTAAAGATGTAGGGCACAAATCTATATGAAACCAAACTACCAAAATCGATATGAACCAGACTATATGACCGGAACTATATGAACCAGACTTGATTGTCTCTGCAGCTCATGGGACAATAGCTCTAGTAATTGCATGACTCAGGTGGCAAAGAATTCCTTAGAAATGATAAACGTTTCTAGTGTGGCTGTGGCCAGGCTTCTTGCTCCCATGGAAAATTGGGTTGTTAACTGTGAATTACTTTGTTCCAGTCTCGCTATATTCATATGATACCTGGGGTTTGCACCATTTGGTTTATCTTTCAGCTTCTGGGGTGTACACATGTATATATCACTTGCAAAAGCAGCAGCAGTAGTCACTGTTCTGCATGAAAGGTGCTAGTATGCGTTGGTGAGAGGGGCAGTGAGAAGTTTGTTAGGAGAAACGGAGTCAAGATGTGTCTGTGGCTAAATTTGCTTGAGCTGATGTGCATGTATACAGTATAAAAGGCAACATTTTTGCTCTAGCCTTTGTATTCAAAGAAATGTCTGGACAGCAGGCACGCAGTAAGTGTCAAACCACGGTAGAAAACTCGATGCTGGTCAGCTATCTGTTCTTGTTAGCTTCTTAGAGTACAGGTGCTTTTTTTTCAGCTTAAAGTGATGAGATTAATATAGATTTCTTGGCTTCATGTTTCAACCAGCAAGAGAGCAACATATTTATGGTGAAATAAGAAAATATATTACTTGTGAAAAATACCCACTGGAGAGTCTTGAGAACAGCAAAGTCTGCTGCTTCTTGTTCTTTTGTTAAAAATAGTGAAATGCAGCCTTCCTTCCCCACACTGTCACAAAAAATGGACTCAGTTCTGACTTGAGGAGACTAGATTTATGCAGAACTTTTTGAGCTGATGGGCCCAGGTACCAGCAAAGTAATCTCATAAAGCTCGAATGATATTAGAGTTGACTGGGTAATACATATTCCATGTGTGTGACTTGCACTTTTGTTGAGCTCTGGCATATTAAATAAATATTTTGGCAAGTACAATGAATTGAATTGACATCAGACATCAGTTTTTCTACGTGTCCTTCTCCAATGGAGTTGCACCACAACTGTTTTCCCCAAGCAAAAACCAAACTTTTCAACCAAAATGAATTGAGTGTTAGAAACCTCAAACGTGGTCTGTTTTCACAGGTTTGCCAAACTTAGGTGGGAGGACAGAGAAAATGAGCACCCATCATGGAAAGACAGAAGACACTAGGACACTAAATACATGACCAAGAACTGGAGAGCTTACATGAGGGAAGGGAGGGCTGCAGGAAGTGCTTTAGCCTGTGCCTGCCCCTTTTTACAAACAAAATAATAATCACAGAATTGTAGGGGTTGGGAGGGACCTCAAGAGGTCACTGGGTCCAACCCCCCTGCCAAAGCAGGTTCCTTGGAGCAGGCTGCCCAGGTGGGCATCCAGACGGGCCTTGAATATCTCCAGAGGAGACTCCACAACCTCCCTAGGCAGCCTGTCCCAGTGCTCCATCACCCTCACTGTGAAGAAGTTCCTTCGCATGTTGGTGCTGAACTTTCTGGGCTTCATTTTGTGGCCATTGCCCCTTGTCCTGTTTCCACAAACCACTGAAAAGTGGTTGGCCAAATCCCTGTCTCCCACACTTCAGGTTTTTGTACACTT